TCCTCGTTGTGGATAAAAAAAACCAAACTCAAAGAGCATGACTGTTGTTTTTCCTTGGAGCACGGAAGTCGTGCGGCTGACAGCCGACCCGATCTGCCAAATTGCCCGCCGTCAGTACACTGGGAAAAATGGTGAAAGGGATGTTTGTTTGCTGAAAACACTTCAGAAGCTAATAGCATGGCTCATAATATTTAGGGTTTCGCAGTATAGAACCTTTATAATTGAGTCACGTTTCCCTCTGGTTGTAAAATGAGAAGCTGTGCTTTTTTTTTAAATCTGACTTATTTTTTCAATATTAAGTCACGTCTTTGAAGTTTTAAATAAAATAATATTATTTAAGGTCTTTGAAATTTTTGATTTGAACCCCTTTCAATGAACGTGAAATAGAGTTTAAAAGTGCCCCATAAGGGCTACCTTTTCTTTTTTTATTATTTTCTATTGACGTTCATAAGTGCCACTTGTGGTCTAAACTGAATAAATATTTTTGATTTTGATTTTGATTTTGATTTTCAGGATATTCTATAATTGCTCACGTTAGCGGAATGAAAACTAATTATTATGCTCTTGGCAAAGAAATAAAGTGTTTTTGTATGGAACAACTGAACACACGTGGATGAAGACGCTGGCTTTTAGGCCTCAACCTCGAATTTGGCGGGCAGCGGCGCGGGAGCGGCGGCGGCGCGGGAGCGGCAGGATCTTATGCGTAAAATCAAATAGACCGCGACCGGTTCTCGAAAACAGCGGCGCGGGAGCGGGCAACGAGCGGGCAGCGGCGCGGGAGCGGGCAACGAGCGGGCAGCGCACTCCTTCTTTTGCCCACAATAAATCGAGCGTTAGGAATAAATTTGAATCGAAATAAAATTGTCGCCGTTGTTGCGAATAAAAACAAATATCTCGACAACACAACCCCGAACACAACACTTCGCTGCTAAAGCGCCGCGCGAGCTGCCCGCTTGTTTCGAGAACGGGTCTGCGTTGCCCGCCCCGCCGCCGCTCCCGCGCCGCTGCCCGCTAAATTCGAGGCTGAGGCCTTAGATTAAATAAACAAAAATCTCTATCGCAGTAATTCACAAACATTACTATGAGGTCTCACAGTGCGCGTGGACGCACAGAGTCACACACGAACCAATCACAGAGCTCTATTAAACGCTGTGCGTTCAATTTGCTGCTTCACTCGAGCAAGTATCGTTTGTGAATACGGGTGTAAGTCCCACTTCATTTAACCACCGAGGCGTCTGTCGCAATTACTCCTGATTACTCAAAGAGAATTCCACGTATTCCAAAACACAGACAGGTTGTGGAATATTCCATTTCCGTCGTATTTGCAGAACAAATAGGAAAAACAGGCGATTGTCGCGCATATAAAGTTTTCAAACGCCCGCTGTGTGCCGACCGTCTGGCTAATTAATAGGTAATGGAATGCCATTGTTTCTGGCACAGACCAGTTGGGGGCATAGAGTCTTCTGTTGTCGTAGAGCTTTTGGAAGTACTTACTGGTGCTTTCTAAAGTACTTACGGACATACCGAAATGACACCTTTTTGTAAACCTAAACGTATTGAAAGTTGCAAGAGTCCAATTTCTAAGTATTTATACATACACTAGATGGACCGATGAACTTGATGACGATGACCAATGAACAACTGCATCAGATTTGTCTTCGGTCTCCGCAAGTTTGACCACATCTCACCTTTTCGCTCGCAGCTTGGTTGGCTTCCTATCAGACAGCGTAGATATCTTCGTTCACTTTGTATGCTTCATTCAATTCTTTTCAATCCCGACTCTCCATCTTATTTAAAAGATAAATTTCAGTACCTCCACTCCACTCACAATAGAAATCTTCGCTCTAGTCAGTCTCTTCAGCTTGCCACCCCTCATCATAGCACTGGCTTCATGTCCAACTCTTTCTTAGTCTCCGCTGTACGGCTCTGGAACGGCCTTCCGGCCAAATTACGCAAACCTTCTTCCAAATTTACTTTCAAAAAGGCTCTGCGCAAACATTTCAAGGAATGACCTTTTTTTCTCCATTTTCTCGCTATCTCAGACATGAGTGATGTGTACATCTATAATATTATTATGTTTATGTATTTATGTGTATGTCTATTATATTTATTTGTATTATGTTATTTATTTTATGTAATCTTATGTAAGTAGGTTTATTATCAAAAATGTAAATTTTTTGCACCGCCTTACTCTTTCTGCATGACCCGTGGTTGACTGGCAGAGAATGCCATCCGGCATTAAGTCCGCCACAGTGCATTTGTTACTTTGTGTGCTGAAGTATAAATAAATAAATAAACTTCGTACCAACCGATACCTACAGCAACGCCACCTACTGGGTCCAATTTACGGCTTTTTATAATTTACAAGACGTGAATATAGAGGATTTGACCAAGACTCTCCCACCCGGAGGGTTGACATTGAATAGCGTGCGAACTTAATGCAATATGGCATTACCTTCCAGTGAACCTTAAAGCCAAACCAATTTATCCCCTTGACTAAAAACAATGTTAATTATTATAAACTCTGAGATCAATTACTATCAATTGCTATGAACCTATCTATATGTATGTACTAGCTGAAGAAATATGTAGAGGCGGCTTTTAGCTCAATAACTTGTCTGTGTACCACATTACACCGCCTCCATTTTGAAAATTTGACAAGCGGTATAACTAGATGAATTGCCTGCCAACTTTAATGGTCATTAATAAACTAAATTGATGTTTTGTCCGTTACAGTTATTGGTACGATAACCGCACCTATGTTTGTTCGTAGTGTAATGGGTGGAAAATTAATTTTAGAGGGTAATAACCAGTGTTTTACTATGCTCATTTTTGAAAAGAAACAACCATTGTAATGATGTTTTGCTGTTTAATTCAAATGGCAGGTAAAATGAACAAAGGAATTAGAATTAGAATATGATATGTAGTTCATATGAAGACAGGAATTTTTAAATTATTAATTAGTAGGTACATTACTTACGAATAAAGCTGGTACAGCCTCTTACTTCATGTCAAGTTTCACACTGTAGCATTTAATGTAATTTTATTAGATACGATTTTTCAACAAGGATATACGAGTATAGTAAAGACTGACGGAACTGTCTAGTTCAGATCAATGTAGTGGCCATAGAATTAAATAAATTAAGAGGAAACAAATCTATGAAAGCAAGTGAACTTTCATGAAAACCTCTCTTCCTGGAGTAGCTAATCGTAGCGCATAATTTTCATTCTTTTTTTCACCATAAAAAGAAATTTATTCCCATTCGTGTCCATACCTGTAAATATTCCTCGCTATAAATCTCCACCGCCATCTTGAAAGTGCATTTTCCCCGTATCTAGTGTGTAATATTCCGGCTGGCAACATTTGTCATCATTCCGCGCGAGTGGCAACACTAAGGCTGAGCACACACTTGTGGTGGGATCAAGTTTGTGCGTTAGAAAGATTTATTTTGGGCTTCGTAAGGCATTATATGGTGCGATAGAACCCGGTAAACGTTTATTAGCTCATAAAGGTTAGTAAAAGTAGACGTGATTTGAAATGACATAGTGATGAAGCGTGGATTAGTCTATCGTGCTATTTATACTTGCAATTTAGTACCTAGGTTATAGGTACTTTTATTAGATGATAGTAAGTGAGTTTTCATATCTATTAGAATAAGGAATAAATAAAAAAGTAAATGATATAATTTGCTATATCGGAACTTTTTGAAAGGTTTTTCAGTTACACAGTCATTGCGCCAGCTTTCAGAGCCTTCAACCTTTTTATGATTGCAAAATTGTTTTCTAACCAAGCTGCATTTATAACGGTCAACCGAAACATCACATCGTGTAGTCTCAGCTTTAGGGCACACTTACGGCTCTGTTTATGATAATATGTTATTATTAGTAAGTACTAAGTAGTTTATTCTTGTATGTCCGTTTTTCCTGCAAAATTCGTTAAAGACTAAGACCCGCATTCACAAACATTAATATGAGGTCTCAAAGTGCGCGTGGACGTACAGGGTCACACACGAAACAATCACAGAGCTCTATTCAACCGATTCTTCTATTCAATGTGTGCGTTCGATTTGTTGCTTCACTTAAGTAAGCATCGTTTGTGAATACGGATGTGCCTTATTCTCGAGCTTTTTATAGTACAATTTTTTTACGAAAAGTTTAGACTACCCACTAAAATTATGTAAAAGTTCATAAATTATTTACACTCATATTCAAAGACTGCTTAAGAAACTTTAGAAGCTGTAGAGTTATTGTTTAGTAATGACATTATAACTGTTCAGTGTCCACGAAAATCTTTGACTTTGTTATTTGACCCATAACTCTACTATTGTGTATTTTCCTTTATTATTCCTAAGTTCCATGTAATTAAAATACTGCTACAATGCAATGGCTGTAATATAAAATAATTTAAAAGCTTCCTTGAAAGGAATTCTTCGAGTTTCCCACCGTAAATTACACTTCAAAATTAATTTTCCAGACATTTTGTGCGCTTTTGCGGTAGGAGAAAGGTGAGAAAATATTGTAGGGAAGTACAAAGTTATTTTGCCGGAAAATTTATAGGTTATCGATATTTGCAGCGTGATAGGAAAATATCCTGTAAATGAAACGGGTTATTACAAACATCGACGGTAGTTTACCAAAATAAAACTCGACCCACCATTATGGTGGGTCGAGTTTTCGTGGATGAAACCCTAACGATTTGTAACGTTAGTCTATCGTGAATTACCAAGCCGTGAAGAATGATTCTTCCGCTAATGTTTGAGTGTTATCGGTACATGCTAAATCATCTATAAGTGCACACGCACACTACAATAATGACGCTCGGATTGCTCGGATCAAACTCCCCGCACCCCGCGCTTCCCTCGTAAAAAGATTGGTGGGCCGCGTCTTCGTGGATGAAACGATCTTAGATGCAGTTGCGGGTTTGATTCCCGCAAGCAGTGAGATGAGCACAATAGTTTCGATATTTAATAATATAGGTATTAACTATGATACAAACTTACCGAAGAGGCACGTGTCTTGGAAGATGTCTTTTACCTGTAAAATAAAGATTTATAACATCAATTTCAATGTAACATAATATTTATATTTTTTAATTTTACGATAATTAATTACTTAACTCATTGTTTTGATAAACGTATGTAGGCAGGTAATTATTATCAAAAACGAAGGCACATTTTATCAGTTGATTAAATAAATAAGACGAATTTATCTTCACTCAAGATTTTGCTGGTTTATTCATATATATTATAACTTGTAGACGCTTTGGAATTACTGTAAGTCTTCAAGTAGCTAAAATCATAATTAAATTAATAAATCTTACAACAAAGCATTTTACTGTAGGTAAGTAGAGTTGACCATACATCGTCATAATTATTATCACCTATCGCAACTACAGACGATGTCACAGTAAATCCTCCCACTAGGTGAACAGACGATCTGGCGGGAAGTGCCTGGATGCGGGCAGCGCAGGACCGATGGTTGTGGAAATCCTTGGGGGAGGCATTTGTTCAGCAGTGGACGTCATTTGGCTGAAACGAACGAGCGAAGTTTCACAGTGTTTATCTTAGGCTGAGTTGCATCATCTAAATTTAACACTAGAGTGCTCGCGCCCCTAAATACTCCTAGAGTGCTCGTGCGGGTGACATATGTCCCCCATTATGATATGGGTTTATTTTTGCTAATCTTATTTAATACAAGTAAAACAATTTATAATATTAAACATCAACTATATTTCTTACTAAATAATTTAAAAAAAGTGAGAAATTCTTTCATGAACTCTTATTATAAACCAAAAGAAATACTTCAATATTTTTCAAATATTTTAGAGTCGAAGAGACCAAAGTAGTTTAAATAGTCGTTTGACCCGTTATTTTGGCAAAAATATCACCTAATTAGAAAGTTAATCAATAGATTGATCTTATTCTGTGATATTTTGATCACAACTCGGGCACGATATTAATACGAATACGATAATGATTTGATGATCTGTAGGCCTAAGATGCGCGCCGCGATAAGCGGTTATCACGCCTTTTTATCGATTTTGCCCATACATTTTGACGTCGATAAAAGTTATCACGGTGCGCATCTTAGGCCTACTGGACAAAAACGCCTATTCCACTTGTTACATTTGCTTACGAGTGCTTCGATTTCTTGCTCTTGTGCAAAAAACACATCGTCCTTTGCCACAATACTGGCAAGCTTTGTGCTAGTTGGTGTTTTCGCAAGCCTAGAAGAATCCTGGTTTTTAATTTTATAGCCCTAGGTGAATTATTACTACATTGCATACAATCTAAAACAACTACTTTCTTGCATCAGTTTATGCTTATAAAACAATATAATTATTGTAGGTAAATGTTTAAAATTACATACATGAAAGACAAATAAATTACATATTATTATATCATATTAAATTGAAAGACCGGACATGATACGGTTGCTGATGGAAGCTAATAAAGGTTGGAAAATAACATCTTTTTAAAATTAGCAAAATCTAAAATCCATATGGGGATTCCTAATAAAACGCTTACTATCCGTAGTAAAGATAAAGTTTTTCTTTCTGCATAGATAAATTATTTGCTTTAATTATATGATTGACTTTCACTTAGTACCGTACTGCGTACCACATAAATATTATGAACATTAAACTACTATAATTAATAGTTTTTGATGAAAATTAAATTATGATATTTTTAGGAACTTTAAAACCAACACAAACCCATGAAGAAAATGATGTCGGGTTCGCAGCAGTGGAAGAAGTTCTTAAAACCGAAGGCAATGTAAGAAGTAATGTAATACAATTACATGAAAGTAAACTTGATTTTAAACCGCGACGCTAGGGGATCAAACAATTCCTCGAGTGCTCGCGCGTCATGCGTCACCCAAACACTTTAAATGTTTTCTGCACTCACGTTGATGCGTCTAGCAAAATGGCGTTACTACTAAAATGTGCGACAATACATGCTCGAAGAATACCTGAGAAGGCAGCACTGTAGCTCGATACCTTGAAAAAATATTTACAAATTTTACACCCTGGGTGACATATGTCACCCGCGCGAGCACTCTAGTGTTAAGAGTGACTATATAACCCCAGCCACCATAATACTTTAGTTTTAACAAACGTCAAAAATCTGTCAAACCCCATACAAAAACATCAGTTATCTTTATTAGTTACGGTCAAAGTTAGGTGGTGCAACTCAGCCTAAATGTACGGTCGTCTGGGCACTGTATTATCCAGCAAGATCCATCGCAGTACTCTGTCGCAAATTTTATTACATATTTCCGCTTCAGCTGGTCAAGGTTGGTCGTTCAACTACATATTTTAAAGTATGCAATTTAGATTAGTAACGTTGCCTGCGGTTGAAAGTCAAATAAGAGTCTTTTATGTGGAGATGCTGTTTGAAAAGCATTGTTTTAATAGAAATTAGCACAAGTAGTTATTCGTCATTTTCCGTCACTTGTAACAAACATTTAAGTTCTAAGGAATATTTAAGTGATAGTAATTTATCTCGTAATCTTGACAACCAGATTTTGATTGAGAATATTTAAATTATATCGTCTTTTTAATAGCTTTTTTCATAATTTTGGTCGGCAGTATTTTTCATAATTTCACATATTTATTTATACATATTTTTGATGCGAAGTAATGACAGAACATATAAATTTCATTTTCCTTGAAATATAGCATATTATACATATTATTACAACGATATAAGACGCCATGCACTATGGCTTGATGTGCAGCTGGCAGCAGATCAGTCCACACTTAACAAATACGCATTTAATACTTTATAAAATGCTACAGCATAAATGCTTGATATGCCTGTACACGGTACATAATTCATGGTATAATCTGAGCACGTGCAAATTAATCCCCATCGCGGTTCATGACGGACGACCTTAAGCCCGGATCCTGCGGTATGTGCTCTTTGTTTACTACTTAACTCATTTTCCCTTTATTAGCCTCTTTTTAGGGTAAAAGGAATAAGTCCCGGATGAACCGGAGAATCCGGATAGTACAAGGCCTGTTCATCTCCGCGAGTTTACATCGAAAACAAAACACGCACGATGGTCCACCTACAGTATACTATTCGACAAGGCCTCACATACGAGCGAACATTGACTTACGCACGCGTATTCTTGTGTATGATGGAAGAAATTAAAGAAAATGGTGTACTAAATATTGTGCAGTATTTAACTGCCTAAATAATAATAAAAACACAGAATGTACTTTTTTAAGTTACCTCAAGACACTGAGAGGTAAATAAGTAGTTAATATTATTCATGATAATTCATACAAAATCATGTATTTCCTCCGCCATTTTCCGCAGTTTGGCACCTCACGTCGCATCATTTTACCGAAGTCAGCCCTATAGCTTCGGCGCAGTGCCGATCACTGACGTTTGTCAACAAAATGTTGCTTGACTCTTGAGACAGGCTAAATTACACCATATTGTTAATGACATTGAGCATACATTGTTTTAAATATCTTCGCGAAGTAAAACTTCTGTACGTAGTACTTATTATTATTCTGTGATAGTACTCCGTTTTTCACCTGTCTGCACAGATTACCTTAGACTCCCCGCAGATTAAAGATTTGTAGTCGGCCGACAGTTGGGCCCGATTCTAATTTGTATGAAACATCGGCCCATACAATGTGCGCACTTTCGCATTTACTGATTAACAGCCCGACCCAACTATCGGCCGACAAAAATCTGCCGATAGTCGAGTTGTTCAACACTGTGCGTTCGATTTTCTGCTTCACTTAAGGCAAGCATTGTTTGTGAATACGGGCGTTAGGCTGGGTTACACGTTACCATCTTACTTTGACTTTAACAAACGTCAAAATTCTGTCAAACTCCATACAAAATATACCGGTTAACGTTATAGTCACGGTTAAAGTTAGATGGTGCAACTCGGCCTAATCAAGAGAAACCTATTTCAATTCAACCATTGTATTATGAAAGTGTTTGATTTGTTGACTAATTCAAAACCAGACTTAACAAAAGCTGCCAATAACATTATTCAGTTTAAGTTTAACAAGTTTGTAACGATCTACGTCAAAACTTCCAAAATTAGTTCAACCATTTTGAAATTCTGTTATCTAAACACGAGTTTACGTTAAGTAAGTAGTGCTCGCTAGCGAGCACGTCAAAAAATCTATGAAGATTTTATTTCTTGAAAGTAGCCGCTAGGGGCGCTGCAAATATGTCATACATTTGATGTAATTTTTTTACACAGTCGCTAGCGAACACACCTAACTCATGGTAAGCACACTGATGACGCAGCAGCCGTGTGTTACACGATCCATTTTAAGCTACTTTTGTCTCTTTTCGCAACTAGAATAAAAACCTACACATAAAATTTGGCACTATCAAAGCCTTAGCTTGTCCACATAAGAACTATAATTGTCTCTGTTATTTTTCTAAGACATATTTGGTTTGTTGGTAAAAACTAGCCATTTTGAACTTAGCACCAAATGACGTCCACTGCTGGAAAGGCCTCTCCCAAGATTTCCACAAAACCTGATGATTTCCGCGACCTTTACCAAATCCTCGGTCTACCTAGGGAAGCTTGCCCCCATTATGTCTTTCTGCCCCATAAACTAGATCGCAAAATTCTTTTGTCGGCGAAGCTAACTACGATGCATATTGTTATATTAAACTTTGCTCTTATTTCACATATTTTTGATAGGATCAACTTTGAAACGCCCTAGAATTATGGATACAAGCTGACATGCGCGAACAATATTAAAAGATTAATTGTATTTGCATTTCGTTTCGTTCGCGATAAAAGTGGGAATTATGCGAGGGCATGCCGTGTACGTGCGTGTTTTGATAACTGTGTGGTCACAAGCGTAGCGGGGAGCTGAGCGTTATAGGTATCAACCCGAAAAGGGATCGTAACCGTATCAACTCAAGGCGGTCAGTATTCTTTGTACGAAACTTCATATTGCAACGCACACTGCACCGTAACGTAAATGCCTCGTCTAGTGGTGGACGAGGTGGAATTGTGTAAAGCAATCCTAATCAT